TATGGATAATGACAACGCTGCGCTCGGCAAATTTGAAGACCTATAACTTACGTAATATTTCATGAATAAAGATTTATAGCTAATGTTTTGAAAACGTCTCGGCGTCAGCTTTACGACTGTATTATCAAAAATAGAAGATTCTATTAAAAATTTCAAAGGTGACTTTTATAAAAATCATTCAAGGTCACGCCAGAATGACCACATAATAGAACATTTGATTTCTTACAAACTTTGTATTTAACGTTTTCTTCTAAAGTCATTAGTTTTTGAGATACTGCACCGTTTCGGAACTTTTGCCATGCACTGTATATACAGAGTGTCTCTAAATTTACGACCGTAATTTAAATGACATATTCCTGAGATGATTTTGAGACAAAACTTTTAATATCATATTATCGAGGCTATAATATTTTTTGAATTATAAGCGTTCGAAACTGGCCTATTAGGTGGCTATTTTGCGCGATCAAACGGCGCACAATTTTTCCGTGATAGTATTCTTATATCTTAATATATAGATAATTATGAGACTTATCTTAAAAAAATTTTCTCTTTTAAATCATATTTCATAAATACACATATTTATTACAGTGCCTATGTAAATAAAAATAGTTTTATTAAATTCTTGCAAAACTTTTAATCACAACATTTTCGACGTGCTGTCAAAAGTATAGTATGAAGCTAGCGCTAGCGTAAATACCAAAATATAAAAACATTGTCACGCACTAAACTACAATTTCATCAATCGGCTGTATCTGATCACGCAAAATAAAAGGTACTTAATTATTTTTAAATGCTTAAAAGTAAAAACAATATTATAGCCTCGATAATATGATATTAGAAGTTTTGTCTCAAAATTATCTCAGAAATACGTCATTTAGACTACGATCGTGAGTTAGGGACACCCTATATATATATATACAACGCACGCAAGCACGATGTTTCATGGAAGGCAACTTATGGAAGGAAACTTATGGAGGGTACTGGAGGGCTGTGTATATGTATATATACATATGTATTTACATGTATATATGTATATACATGTATGAAAATGGCTTACTTTATGCAATCTCCTAACAGCAAAAGGTAGAGCAAACAAGAGAAGTTTTCAGACATCCTGTATATAAATATAACAATATTTGTTGTATAATTATATATATATATATATATATATATATAATAATTTAATTAATCCAGTTATTTAGTTAGTATATTTAATTAATTTAGATATTTTTGCTATGTTTTTGCAATGAAATTAATTCGTGTCACGAGTACTGAGACGATGCTGAGAAAGATATTGCCAATATGCTCGCATTATTTCCACATAGAATTTATTGCTACGAAAAGGAATGAAGAGATCATTATGATCCATTACGGTTCAATGGTGGCATTTTAGCATCTGTCTTGACATGCCTTCTTGAAATTCAATTTAAAAAATTATTGTCGTAAAAAATGTAAAAAATGATTTTAGTTTAGTTAAAACATATTATTGAAAGCATTGGTCATTATAAGTATTAGTAAAAAAAATCACTTCTTAAATGGCGCTACAATTAGACAAATATAAAATAATAGAAAAATAACAAAGTGTTAATTTAAAATCGAGAAAGGAATAAAAAACTCATTAGATGTATAAAAGTGAACTGCGTAAAAATATGATCAAACTTTACACGACCTAGCTTAAATTGATTAAAATGAATCGCCGAATTTGTGTTAATTGTACGCTAGTGCAAAATTCCCACATTGTGTGTCGATATAAGTAAAACTTTGTAAACATATTCCATATTTACCCGCGTCGAGCGTCTCGATAGAGACTATTATATTTATCTGTCTTTTTTATCAATAAAATTTTTATTCCAGTTTTATTTATTAATTTTTCTATTATAATAGAGAAATCTAATAAGTATTAATTAAATCTGTAATTTACTTTATAATAATACAATCACGTTGATTATTACTTATTTTCTATGCTTCTGTATTTTATGAAAGCGTAATTATCTAATTATAAACTTAGGTATAATAGTACAAAAATAGAGTTGCGTTTTTCTACAACTTAATTGTTTTTGCAAGTGTTTACTTAAGTATACTTTTACAAATTTTTTTATTGTGTCAAAAAATCACGAAGCAGTTAAAAAACGGTCTTGAAAAAGTTATGTTCGAAACAAGCTTGGTCTAAAAAAAAACAAAAATACAAATTGTTTTTATTTGTAATATATTTTTCTGCTTGATTGTCTTTCTATTTTTACTAGTTATTAACACATTTCAGTATATTTGCAGATATTCATGTATCAAAATCGATGCAATATTGCAAATTTAAAGCGATATTATGTCAATTGTTACATCGTGATTAATACCATCTGAGGAAGAGAGATAACATGACACAATTTGCAACTGGTTATAAACCGTTAATGAGTAAGTACACGAGTACAATTATATTTCATGCAAGAATTGTGCAATTCAATCTGCGCAGTAGTGATATAGCATTATAAGTATTAATGCTTGTAATGTTCTTAAAACTCATATATTTTAAGTAAAACAAATGTACTTTTTAAAAATAAACTTTATTTTTACACATTAATAATAAGCATTAATAATAATAATAGGCGTTTTTGTGCGCTTAAAAATATTAGAAACTGCATATTACATGTCAAATCTATTTAAATTTAGTAAAATAATTTATTAGTTATTA